AATAATGATAATGAAAAAAACAGTAGTCAACAATATTTATATGAAAACCTCTCATGCATCTTAATTTCACATGCAACACCACAATACACCTTGTTAGACACGGCAGATTAAAACTAACATCAAAGTTTAGACATGGTACAACACAGGTTTTTTTAATGCAATGATAGTCATTATCACAGTCTAACAGGTTTCTCAAAGTGCACAATGAAGTTTCAATGAGCACCAGCAAAACGTAATAATCTTCCACTTCATAAGAGAGACAAGAGGAGTGAAGGAGAAAGCAGTAGGAAATGGGGTAGGGGAAGAAAGGGAGAGAGGGACGGAGAGGGAAGAAAAGGAGAGGGGGAGAGAGGGGGAAGGAAAGGCAGGAGGGAGGGAGGGGGAGGGAAAGGAGAGAGGGAGGGAGAGGGAAGAAAAGGAGAGAGGGTGGGAGGGAGGGAGGGGGAAGAAAGGAGGTGAGGAAAATAAGAAAAAGAGAGAGAGAGAATACTTTAGGCCCCTTCCAAAATGCCAAGAACATAATTATCAATAGCAATGTAATAAGATACAAAAACATGTAAAAAATTAACACATTCTTCACTCACCTAAATGAAAAAAGGTGAAAAAAAAAATATATATATAAAGATTATCAATTACAGACCCACCAACGTGTACTTCATGGATGTTGCAGATTCTTACTAAACAATACACTGCCCTTGTCGAGATCCCATTTTTGATGACGTGGTAAAATTCTTGCAAGTGGGTTAAAACAACAATTGGTAATTACCTCACTGACTGGACTCTAAATGCCACCCATCTCAGGAACTCGAGAAACACCCAGTGGAAAATTGCACACCGTGCAAACGAACGCGTGTACATACTTTGCACTGGGGGGGGGGGGGGAATGGAAACAGTGCAGTTGAAATTAAAAACTCAACGAGACTGAAAGACAGACGAAGACAAGAAAAAACAGGAAAAACAGTTCATTACATTTCTTTTACTGACTTTCAGGTCTTCCCCCTTTTAAAGAAGTTATGCTTCACACTGTCATTTAACTAATACTAAAAAAAAAAAAAATCATACTGAAGAACATTAATGGTACAGAAAGGGGAGATGAAAAAGGGGGGAGGGGGAGAAGGGGAAGAGGTATGGCAAGTTAAGGAAGGAGTGGAAGAGTGTAAAGATAAGAGGCAGAAGAAAAGAAAGAAAGAAAAAAAAAGTGAGAGAGACAGAGAGAAGAGGAGCATAGCAATACACTTACAAAAATTGTGATTCTTAGATTTTTTTTCTGTATCTGCAATAATCATCCAAAGTAATGTTTGAAAGGAAACCACCTTACTCAGACAAAACTAAGATAATCAGGATTTCTAACCAATATACCCAGATTTAGTGAGACACCCTTAGTTGTTATAGCATCCCTGACTTTAAATACCATATATGTTATGAATGTGTTGGTGTGATTCTTCCATGTCTTTATCTCTTTTAAATTTTCATCATCACTGCTTCTTGCACACACCCTCACACATGAATGTGCACATGCTCTCACATTCATACTCACACACACACACAAATACACACAAACCCAAGCATGCATGCACCCACAAACCCACCCACACACTTAAACACACTTACACACACACTTACACACACACTTACACACACACACACACACACACACACACACACACACACACACACACACACACACACACACACACACACACACACACACAAATTCATTCATTCACAATTACCAAAATTCAAAAATTCCCATAATCAACAATTTTTGAAGATGGCAAATGACATTTAAAACACAACTAAAATGAGGGTAAATCATAATGAAATGTACATTCTTGTTGCTACATTCCTTGTGCATGATAAATCATGTGCCAACTGGTCATTACACTTTGCTCTGTAGTATGCACGTGCAACTTAAAACCTTTTGAGATACACAACACAACCCACATGCACATGTTTCAGCTTAAAAGTGAATTATACTTATCTGTTCTTTAACTTGGCATGTGCGTAGAATAAAAAAAAAGAGTGACTCGTTGCGAATTTCAAACACACAAGGGCAGGCACCACATGCACTCATTCGGTCTTTATTTGGGGCTCAGACTAGCTGTTCGGTCATATAAAAACCTTTAAAAGCTCAAGTGAAACTACTTCTATTCACAGCATCCACTTTAAAAGTTACGTTAGCGTTTATAGAAGTTTAAAATTAGACAACCAAGATATTGTCCTTTCAATTATATAACAAAAACAAGAATCCATCACAGCCACATTAACAGTTACATTTTTTTACTCATTGAATGTACTAAAGCTGTCAAATTGTGCAGTAGGCCAGAAAGACTCCAACACAAATGACTTTAAACAAAAGCTCTACTCTCCAAGACTGGGAGATATAGAAACAAAAAAAAAATAATAATAACAATGATAATAAAACATGAACAAAAGCCTCTTAAGTGTCTCTGGTGGAAAGCATGTCAAGCAACAGGCAGCAGAGGGACAAGACACACCGCAGAATCAGAAGACGCAACTTACACAGTAAAGCCTGCTCTTGGTGCACCCACGGGGCTATGGAGGAGAAGAGAAACAGGGGGCTTGAATATCCTTTCACCTTATGTGTGTAAACACTCGCTAATACCCAATACAGTTTCCTGTGTGTATACCATGGGCCTATCCTCATATTCCCCCAAATAAATGAAGTTTCTCAAAGCCATCTTAACTTTTCCCATGACAGCATTTCGTACAAGTAGTTGCTCTCGGCTTCTGGAGTGTTTTTTTTTCTTCCAACATGTCTTACCAAAACAGTCGAGAATTCTTATGAAGCCGAGTCTACCACAAACATCAGACCACAAAGCTTAATCTTTAGAATAATCCAAAACGGACTGAAAAAAGACCTCTGCTAAAATATACTGAAAGAAAAAGTACAGTAGACTGGCAAAAGCATTCCTGCTTTCTGCTTAATCACTGCTAAGCTAATGACTTCTTATTCTTTGAATGAGACATCCTTTCTGAGGGTAAGTCTATCTCCTGAATTAAAACCTGTTTTTTCAAGGTCTTCTTCTATAAACACAATTCTGATCTATGTAAAGTAAGAGGAGATGTGTCCAACTGCGAACTTGTACAATATAAAGGAAATGTCTAAGGACTACAAGAGTGGCATCAGCAAGTTCATCAACAATTTCAACAAAGACAATTGACGTTTACAAAGACTGATTTCTTTCCCCATAAAAATTCACTTGACATACCTAAAGTCAAACAAAGACAAACATTTATAAAAAATATACCAACACCACACTATTACTGAACTCTTACTCAAATTTTACCATAATACTTTCCACTAAAGTATAGCATAATCTTTCCTATATTCCTCTGTGAATAGCATATTTACATAAACTCCCTTCCTCTTGAACTCCTGGCATTACAGATCTGGTCCACATCTCCAAAAGGCTTGATGCAGAAACAGACATAAATGAGAATCAATATTTCAGATGAAGTGGTTATCAAAACCAGTCAGATACATCTCTGGCACAGTCAAGATGTTCATTCCTACCTTTTTCTACATCTGTCACGACATGCACTGCTCACATCTGACTTGACATAACACCTCTACCCAATGCCATCTCACAAAGTATTTAGTTTCTCTGCTGTAGTCAATACTTTAATGTGTATAAAAGATAGTTACTCAAAAATAAAATCCTTCAACGAGATATCAGACACCACAATCTATTGAAAGGTATCCTGTCCACATTATGCATGCCACATCAAGCACAATTCAGTAAACAATTATCAGTATATTCCTACAATTACAGACACAGTCCCTGATCCCTTTCTGAAATCTTTGCCTCTTTACAGCATACTGTTCTTCATAAGGCATGTCATATCACAGGTTTAACTATCTTCCTCAAAGAAGTGAGACAAACCCAATGGAAACTGTTATAGCATGCAGTGAACCCAATTCCAACACACCAAAAAATGATCTTAACCGTAAAAGAACTAGATTTCCTGGCATTTCAAATAACATCTTTGCTATGAACACAAAAGATATACTGCTCACTGATGACTGTTAATGCTATTCATCATATGATCTTTTCCATATGATCCTTTAAACATTAAAGGCCACCAACAGCAAAATATTATCCTCTAAGGTAATCTTGATACTAACACAACAAAGCAGCAGCAAGGAAAAAGTAATAACTGATAGTGATAATGATGATGATAATAAAAAGCATATCAATAACAGTTATAATATCAATGACAATGTGAATAACAATAATGAAAAATAAAAATGATAACAAACAAATTAAACATTGGTAAAATTACCACTATTACTATTACTTTTACTATTTTATCATGATCATTATTCTTATCATTATCCAAATTATAATTTAATTATAATCATAACAATAAAAATAATTATACGTATGATATTAATACAAATAATATTAATATTCATCATCATCATTTTCATTATCATTATCATTACTATTATCCTTATCTTTTTTCATTATTATCTTAATTTTAAATATTATTATTATCATTATCATTATTATTATTATTATTATTATCCTCATTATCATTATCATCATTATTACTGTTATCACCATCATAATCATCATCATTATATTAATAGTAATAACAATAACAATATTACTACTACTACTATTACTACTATTAACAATAGAAATAATAATAAAACAAAATTATTATTATCATAATCATAATAATTATTATAATTATCATTTTTATTACCATAATAATAATGGCAAAAAAATATTAACAATTATAGTGATAATAGTATTTATAATGACAGTAACAGAACAAATAAAATTATAATTATAATGATAATAATAATAATAAAAATAACAAAACCAATAATAATAATAATAATAATAATAATAATAATAATAATAATAATAATAAAAAACAAAAATAACATCAATAATAATAATAATAATAACAAAATCAACTATAATAACAAAAGATAATAATGCTGCTGCTGCTAATAATAGCAATAATGATGATAATCATAACAAAAAGCATAAAAAAGTAAAAGTAACTTTGATCGTAATAGCAGTAGTCACAAGAATAAAAATAATAATAATTACAATAAAGTATCATTTTTAATCATAATGATGATGATGACAAAATACCAATAAAAAAGAAAAAATAACAATACTGCAAACTAATATGACAACAATTAAAACAAAATTACTGCTACCAACAATAACAACAACAACAATGCCAACAATCTCCATCCCAACCCAGCAATAACAACATTACACTGAACGCCAAAATCTTAATGGAAAACAACACACAGCTGTCGGGAGGGAGGGAGGGGGGAGGGAGGGAGGCTGTGTACGGCAGCATTTTCACAGCAAACTCACCATATAGTGCAGCTGTTGCCGGGTCCATCCCGGGTGGCAACCCACCCCGGGTTTTGTCCCCTCGCTCGCCTTCTCTGCTGTTGTCCATCCTGGGGAGAGAGAGAGAGAGAATTGGTGAGTGAATTTCCCCGGTTAGAGTGGTGTTGTGCTTAGATTTTCCAAGACAAACTTGGGTAAATATCTAACAATAACATCAATAATAAAGGAAAGTATCTGTAAATAATGTTGATAATACTAAAGTTATAATATTGATAACAATAACAATAATGGCAATAGTAATAATGATAAAAATAATGGTATTAATTACAATATTAATAATAATAACAATAAAAATAACAAACAACAATAATAATAATAATAATAATGATAATAATAATAATAATAACAATAATAACAACAATAATATCACTACTACTACTACTACTACTAGTAATAACAATAATAACAACAATAATATCACTACTACTACTAATAATAATAACAATAATAACAACAACAAAATGCATCCCCCTATACAGAAAAACACTGTGAGCCACTAATTATTACCTAAAAGAACCCCAACTCATGACAAGCTTTAACCCTTCAAAGTTCACTTCATTTAACCAATGAAGCTTTCCTCTCTCACTATGCAACCTCTATATGTGAACACTGCTAACTTTTGCATATCCAATAGATCAAGAAAACTGGTCAGTCACTGCCAGGTCCTGTTCGTGGCATTTATTTTTTTCTCTCTCTTAGCGGAGTTTCTTTTTTTTGTTCTTAACAACCAGAAGGTCTGTATAACATGATTTTGGCATACAATTTAAGCTCCGAATGTCATTAAGATATCAATTCACATTTATGTAAAATACAATTCTCTTTTTTTTTTTTTGGTGTGACTTATATGAGGTGTCTGAGAAGTGGGAGTGAGTGAGTGAGTAGGGAGTCTGGATGGGGGAATACATGTGCGTGGGTAGGGGATTGCATGTGAGTGTGTTGTGTATTTGCCTTTATGTATACTGACAAGTATTCACAGTCATGTAAATTTTTCTCCTAAACTCTAGTCACTCTCTCTGATTCTATGCACATATGTTCCTTGCATATAAATAAAAAAATCAAACTTTTGTATAATACAAAATATTCTCTGTTATTTTGAACTTTGAGAAAATATAAAAGATGGTAAAATCATAGCAGAAGTCCAAAGGGAAAAATTGATTGAGAAAGGGGAACACAAATGAAATTAAACAAATCAAAACCTTATCCATTACAACTTTTTAAATAGTTCCACTTGTTCACACGACAATTAGCTGTACGGGGATAATGAAACACCTGAGACTAGTTGCACCATTGCTGATATTTAAGAACTTATTAAATTCAGTTTCTCCAACTCTTCCTTACTTATTCACCATTTTTTTTTAATACTTTACTATGTACTGCACATTTGTATTAGAAATAAATAAAATCTATATACCCATCTACTTTTTTCAGCCCTAACAGACAATTTGTAACCTTAAAGGTCTATATGTAAAGGGAAAGGGAGATGGAAAGAGGAGAGGGAGAGAGAAAAGACAGAGAGAAAATGAAGAGAGGGAGAGGGAGAGGAGAGAGAGGGGAGAGGAGAGAGAGGGGGGGGAAAGAGGGGGGGGAGGGAGGGGAGAGAGAGAGAGAGAGAGAGAGAGAGAGAGAGAGAGAGAGAGAGAGAGAGAGAGAGAGAGAGAGAGAGAGAGAGAGAGAGAGAGAGAGAGAGAGAGAGAGGCATATTAATTCAAGATTCACAGATGTAACAAGTGGAAAGTTTTCCAAATAGATAAAATACACATACATACATTGCATTTTCTTCTCTGAACACCTAAAGAAAAGCCCATCTAATGCAAACATGCTTTAAAAAAAAATTATAAATTCACTGGTCTTAGAAAAAAGTGAGAGTTACGTAGGCCTTCAAGCCGGCCACAAGAAGCTAAAGAAATTCCGTCCATTTATCTACTCCCATTGACCTCTCCTCTCCCCCCCTCCAGCTAAAACGATAGATCTACCACTCATACCTCGTTTACTTGGTGATAATGCGACCATAATCATAATTCCGACGTGTTTTAGTGAGCATTCCGTGCGGCGAGCGGCGGCGTCCCAGCGACCCTCACGCGAACATGTA